AGATCGGGACGGAAGACGCCCTCGATGTGAGAATCCAAGCGCAGGTAACACGGAGGGCCAGGCGTGCGCGGAGTCCACAGGCCCCTTTCCGCGAGGGGAGTGTGTGCAAGAGGGAAAAGTGGGGAGAAGAGGCCTTGGGCCCCAGATCAACCACGGGTGGGGAGGGGACTCATTTAACGAGATGAACGATCCTTAGAAGATCAGAGTCTGGAGCCAAGGGTCCCCGCAGGGCTCCAAGGTAGGCCACCCCATCTGTCTCCCCCATGGATCCTGACCCCCAGCCCCGGCTCTTTCTAAACCAGATGAACTAAGAGGGAAACGCCTGCGGTCAAGAGGAGATGTGGACGAGACAGGCAGTGCCCGGGCGTCCCAACCCTGCTTCTCTGTCTGACCGGCAGCACCCACGTGGGCCTCCCCTCCAGCGAGCGCTGGCTGCGGGCTGCCCACCGGCCAGGCACCGCCTGCCTGCTCAGCGGGATGATCACATCAAGCCCCCCACCAACCCACCACTCCCAGCGCCCAGGGAGGAGGGCCAGAGCAGCCTACAGTCACACAGAGGATCAACTGCAGGGTTGTCTGCCTCCCACCTCTGCCTTACGTGTCACAGGCTGACACCTTTGCAGGAGGCAAGTCTCTTTTCAAAGACAAAATACTTATCAAATGAAACGGAAAATCCCGTGTCTGTCCTGGGACTAAGCTCTCAATCACCTCACTGCCTGAAGGAGCAGAACTACCAGGAAGGTCTTCTTGGAGCCACAACTGGGGTGAAATAATTGCATAAAATTACATTAAACACATAATAACATAGAGCAAAAGTTTTAAGATTTCTTTCAAAAGATGGGGAGCACCCGTGGTCTGAGTCAGCCCCCCAGGCCAGATGCCCCCAGATGCAGTCCCAGCACACAGGTGGAGGGGGGATGGCTCAGGGCCCAGCGCGGGCAACCAGTCTCTCACCCCCTTCTTCTAACTCCTCTGTCCCCCACTTTCCTCTCCCAGGCCAAGGTTTAAGGAGGGCCACAATCAAACTGACAAAGCCGAGCAAGTGCACACACAGAATGACTCAAACGCCTTCTAAATGATTTTATTCCCGCTTTTTTCTCTCCTTACCCATCAATTACTCCCTTCATGTTGTTGACTCATTCCTCGTGGTCACCCTTTCCCTTCACGTTTTTAGCATGATTAATTCTATGAAAAACTCTTCAAATAATACACTTTCCATTCACTAAAAAGGAATATGGTAAGGCAAGAAAGGTAAGAGACTCCCTTCTCTTCCGTCCCTGTTTCTCTTGACTATGTTCAGTATTTCAACAGAAGAACATAAGAAAATCAACACAGAAGAAATATTTCTAATATTGACATTTTAACCTAAAATCCACACATGTATTTTCCATTTCCTACTAACTGGGTTATGACCAAGTGACCTCTGACAGCAGAAGTGGCTTACATTCCTTCTGTCATCCCTTGGGTGAAACACAGACGAGACGACACAAAGGCTGGCCTTTCTCTGATCGACTCGCAACACAAACCTGAACAGTCTGCTGCCCCCCATCTGGGGATACGTAATCATCTTTCCCAGGTGAAGGTAATGCTCTAACTTCCAAACAGAAAAGAATAAAATATTATAAAATTATGTCCTCACACATTTGAGTTTTGTTTCAGAAATTTTAGTGCGCAATGCTTTAACAAGACTAAATTTTAAACTCTGACCTACATCAAGAAACAAATACGCTTTGATTATAACCCTAAGCAGTTGGACTGGCATCTATCAAATGGCTATTGTGTGTACAATTATTATTTTCCTAATTCTTACTGGGTTACAGCAGAAGCCTTATATCTTTGAGATGTGTTATTAAAAAAAAAGACATCACTTACTCCACATAAATCGAGATTTGCACCCTTGCCATCTGACTCTGAAGGCTGCGTAACCACTAAATGAAACCACCTTTGGAGGGTTGTTGCAGGGTTAAGTGATTTAAGCACGTGTGTGTGTTACCCACATGAAGCACCAGGATGCGCCCTAGGAGTGGACAATGCAGGCTTGTCCTCAAACAGCTCAACTAGCGTTTTGAATTTTTAGCAAATTCACTTTCCTTAAACTCATTCATCCAGTTTACAAGATGCTCATCAGATGAGTGGTCCAGCCCAACACATCCAGGAGACGGTGGGTGCCCAGTAGCATCCATCTCAGGCCAGCACAGCGTTCCCACGGGGTCATCCCCATGAGCTTCTATCCTCAACTGCTGCCACTCCTGGGGTTTACACTCCAGAGACACCGGCCAACCCTCTGTATCCCTACCCCCCGACGGCCACAGCCACACAGACTGCCAGGCCCGACAGGCACATGGCAAGATGCTCCACATCACTGATTATTAGAGAAACGCAAATCAAAACTACCACAAGGGACCACCTCACACCATCAGAATGGCCACCATTAAAATGTCTACAAATAACAAACAGTGCAGAGGCTGTGGAGAAAAGGGACCCCTCCTACAATGCTGGTGGGAATGTAGATTGGTGCAGTCACTATGGAGAAAACAGTATGGAAGTTCTTCAAAAAACTAGAAATAGAGCTACCATATAATCCTACAATTCCACTTCTGGGCACAAATATGCACAAAACTGTAATTCAAAAAGCTACATGCACACCTATATTCTTAGCAGGACTATTCACAATAGATAAGACATGGAAACAATCTAAATGCCCATTAACAGATAAAAAGATAAAGATGTGGTACACACATATAATGAAATACTATTCAACCATTTGAGAATGAGAGGTGGCATTTGCGGCACTATGGATGGATCTGGAAATCATCACACTAAGTGAAGTAAGTCAGGAAGAGAAAGACAAATACCACATGATACCACTTAGAAGGAATCTGAAATATGGCACAAACGAGAGGGTGGGATAAGGGGGCTGGGAAGGAGGCTTAAGAGGGGGATATATATTTGTAGACACACACATACACACATACTTACGGCTGATTCACACCACTGTACGGCCAAAACCAACACAACACTGTAAAGCAACTATCCTCCAATTAAAATTTTTAAAACTAAACAATAAATAAAATATGACACAAAGGAACTTATCTATGAAACAGAAGCAGATTCACAGTCATAGAGAACAGACTTGTGGCTGCCAAGGCAAGAAGGAAAGGGAGGGATGGAGCGGGCGTGTGGGGTTGGCAGATGCAAACTCTCACACACACGATGGACAGACAGGGTCCCACTGCACGGCACAGTCAGCATCCTCTGATAAACCAGAATGGAAAAGAATCTGAACAAAATGTATGTTGTTGTTTAGTTGTGAAGTCATGTCTGATTCTTTTGTGACTCCATGACTGTCATGCTCCTCTGTCCATGGGACTCTCCAGACAAGAATACTGGAGTGGGTTGCCATTTCCTTCTCCAGGGTACCTTCCCAACCCAGGGATCAAACTCAAGTTCTCCTGCATTGCAGGTGGATTCTTTACCACTGAGCCACCAGGGAAGAAAATGTATACATCTGTATAACTAAGTCACTTTGCTATACAGCAGAAATTAACACATTGTAAATCAATTATACTTCAATAAAAATTTTTCTTGAAAAAAAGACTGCCAGACCAGCAGCCACCAAAGGGGCATCTCTTCATCCAGAACCTCACTTCCCCTGGACTCATCTCAGAAATGGAAACATCTTGTCAGAGTCTTCAGCTCCAACATCCCACACGCCAACCCTCACATCAGCCCCCCGCTGCTCCAGCCTGTGCAGGGTCTGCTCGCACAGGAGGCACGGGACACACAGGATGACACAGAAGCCAGGCGGAGGGCAGGCAGACTGCTGGTGTGATACTCTCCTTAGAAGTCACAACACACTTCCTTATGAAAGTCATAAAGCAGAGGGCGTCCACCTCTGACCAACACATCAGAGGATGAGGAACAGAAATCCCAGCAGTAATCCCACAAATTGACCCTCAGATGGGGAGTGGATGACATGGCTCACCTGAGGGGCATACCATATTTGGGGGAGGGATTCTGTCCATGGGTGATGAGAAAGAGGACTAAAGCTTCTCTCGGCCATCTGGCATACCCCATGAAATAAGCATCACTTTTTATAAACAGTTATTAGATGTGATTATAGTATGGGCACTATCTCCCTAGGCTACATGATGGTTTAAATAGGATCTCCAGGACAGCCTAAGAATATAACCACTTTTACCATAATGTTGCTATGTGAGAAAAGTCTCTCCAAGTCCCAAACAACAGACTTAAAATACTACCCTCCCTCTGACTTCAGGACTGTCCATAAAAAGCGAAAAAAAGGGGACTAAGTTAACTGTGAAATGCCATGGGGTCCTTAGATGAGATTTATAGAATTACTGGATTGGTGGGACCCAATAATGCCAAGAAACTGTATGCACGTGCAGTGCACATGTGTATTTCTGGGGAGAGCCTACAACAGATCCTCAAAGTGACCCATGGGACATGAACAAATATTAATCAAGAACCACAACTATTAACTGCATCACAGAGAAACACAGAATAAGCATCAACTTCTGGTTCACATTAAGTACTAGAAAACTGAGTCGAGACTTCTGTCTATAACCCATCTTTATTCCCACCTAACTCTCCACCATCCACATGAACCTGACACCAGAACTTGCCTAGAATTTGAGAGGGAAAAAAAGTTATTAAAAACTGCAGTTTTCAACACCCTAACATGTAAATATTTACATACTTCTTAACCTGCGGAGATTTTGGAGAGCCTAATAATGAGAGGTTGGACTGAGGTCACGGACCACACCGCCATCACTGGGCACTTGTCTCCAACCCCCATCAGGACCCACAGGCCACACACCAAGTAACAAGAGATGCCTGAAATGAACATGAAATACTCTAGAACTGAAAGTCTGCAGCTGATACTGAAAGGTTTTTCTTCAGAGGCATATACTAAAGTATCGTACAATGAATTAAAGTCTGCAAAACCATCCCAAGATGCAAAAGAAACGCACACTGACCTTCATGAGATGCTGATTTATCCATTTTGTAAATGTTTTCTTTTGAACTTTGTCCCGTTCATCTGGAAGGGGGAGAAAAGATATAAAAGAAGGTTAGTAAAAAATCCAGAAGAGACCTTCATTATCATTATGCAAATAAAGAAAAGTAAGATGTTCAAAAGGTACTGTTTAGTGCACTTGAATTTTCTTGCCAAGCTTTGGCACCATGAGGCTTGAAAGACCTCTTCCTGATGCAGCGTCTGCCAGCACTGATCTCTGCTGCATCACCCCCCACCCCACCACCACCATCAGGAAGCCCTCTCACCCCCTCCGCCACCACCAGCTGAGGGCAAGCCCTTGCATGGACTTCCCAAAGCACTTGGCCACAGATTACATCCCACTTGGTCTTCAAGACCACAAAAGGTAGGGTTATTTCCATCTCACAGAAGAGGAGACCAAGACCTCCAACAGTTAAAAGATTTGTCGGCAATTATTTCGCAAACACATAAAGTTGAAAGGCATGACTGAATTCATGTCCTCTGGCTTGAATTACAAACCAAGCAGTTCTCTGCTAGATTCCCTGTGTTGAACCATCTGGTAACAATGTAACAGGCCACTAGATCCTTGTCATGGAGGGTGGTGCTGTCCTGGTTTCTAGACACGGTTCAGAGAACGGGGAGGGAGGTCTTATGATTTAGGAGGACAAGCACTAGAATACTCTGGCTTATCACGTTATCATTTCAAAGAGAACCCTGATCTCCAATGCCTAGAGAGGAGGCTGGTAGCCACACCTGCTCCCTGTCCGCTCCGAGGCAGGAATCCTTGCGTGCTGCCCCCTCCTCCTCTCTCTGCATCTGGGGATGGCTCTTCCTCTCTCCTCCTCTCTTTCCTTTCCTCTCACTGGTCCACATCCCCATCCTTTCCTTGGCGGCAAACAGGCCTCACTCTCTTCATCTCTTTCCCTCCTCATTCTTCGTCCCTGAATCCCCATAAACTACTTTAACAGGAAGGAAAGTGTCTCTGAAAACGCTTACCTAAAAACAGAGTAACCATATGATCCTGCAATCCTACTCCTGGGCATACCAATAAAACCATAATTCCAAAAGACCCATGCACCACAATCTTCACAGCAGCACCATTTACAACAGCCAAGGCGTGAAAACAACCTACATGTACACCACAGATGAGTGGATAAAGATGCAGTCCATACCTACAATGGAATGCTACTCAGCCAAGGAAAAGAACGATGCTGTAAGAACACAGATGGACCTAGAGAGAATGACGCTGCGTGAAGGCAGTCAGACACAGAGAGACAGACACCATATGGTATCACTTAAATGTGGAATCTGAAATACGACACGAATAAACCTACCTGTGACACAGACACAGAGAACAGGCCGGTGGTGGCCCAGGGGGCTGGGGGGAGGAACGGGAGTTTGGGATCAGCAGATGCAAACGGTTACACAGGATGGACAAACAACAAGATCCTACTGCACAGCACAGGGGACCACATTCAGTATCCTGCGATAAACTGTAAGGAGAAGGGTATAAGAAGGAATGTATATATGACTGAATCATTGCTGATCTAAAAAGGTGATACAGATGAACTTGTTCACAAGACAGAAACAGACTTACAGACGCTAAAAACAGATGTACGGTTACCACAGGGGAAATACGGGATGGGAGACAAATCAAGAGTCTAGGGCCAGCGTACACACACTGCTATATGTCAGACAGACAATCAGCAAGGGTCTCCTGTATGGCCCGGGGGACTCTACCCAATGCTCTGCAACAACCAAATGGGAAAAGAATCTGAGAAAGGATGGACATGTGCATACGATCAACTGGACCACGCTGCTGCACACCTGAAACTCACACACTGCAAATCAACTATAATCCAATAAAATAAAAAAAGAAAATGCCTATCCTATGTAGGAAGAGTACTTATGTGCTTTACCCTAATTCCCCCCATCACAAACATTTCTACCGGAGAGTGCTGCTCTACGACAATTTGCCAATAAATAAAAAGAGCCTTAAAAATACAGATGCCGTATCCCGGCAAGTCCACTTCTAAAATTTATCCTAAAACTAGAGTGATGGTTGTACACAAAATGTATCAGTGGCAATATAAATCAGTGTAACTATTTCAACATAAAAGTTTTGAAAAAAAAAATAAATGTTCAGTGATAAGGAAATGAATAAATAAATTTTAGTAAAGCAATCCAAAGGTTTGTTCAGATTCACTTCTTTGCAAGCTACCTAGTGATGGCATGTTACTTAGAGTTCTCTTACCCTTTAATGCCATCATGAAAGGAAGGGGGCAGACCATGTAGTTTCTCTGGTGTTTCACAAGCATTTGTTCCCCAAAGTATCCCCTGGAAACCCTTCCCACTTCCCATCAATGTCAGCAGGAACCAGAAAGACACCTGAACAGAGACTATCACTGGGTACTGTCAATAATACATTCCCTTTCAGTGAGTAAACCTCTAGTGTAACTTTTTTGGCTGTGGCGCTCGGGATCCCATTTCCGCCAACCAGACACTGAAGCTGTGCCCCCTGCAGTGAGCATAGCGTCCCAACCAGTAGGTCACCAGGGAATCCCCTAGTCTCATTCTTAACTTCACACTGGGTATTAAACACTAGAAAAGCTGACCAAGGAGAAAGAAGGTTGCTGAATCTGAATATAAATGCAATTTATGCTAAAATTATTAAACTTGCCTTGGGACTTCCCCCGCAAGTCCAGAGAGTGGTTGGGACTCGAAGCTCCCACAGGGGCGAGGGCTGGATCCCTGGTTGGGGAACCAGGATCCCACGTGCCATGCGGTGCATACACAAAAAAAGAAACTGGCCCAATCCGCAATATAAGAACCGCAGGCATTGTGCATATAACTATTCTGCCAAGACCAACTGCATCAATAATTGTCAACCAGTATCACCATCCACAAAATATTTATGAATTCCCCTGCTAGTCCCCTGGGGCACGAACCAGACCTTAGTCATCTTTATCTACCCCATAGTAGAGGCCATGAAGCTTTTGTGCACTCAACAAACATATGCCCGTGATGTGAATTAATTATGTTTCTCAAAGGACAATCCTCCCCAGGATAACAAGGTATCATCCCCTATATACTTAGATATGGTGGTATATATTACTATTGTATCTCTTGAAGCAATAGTGATGCTATAAATATCTTTCAGCTTTGCTATTTCTAAAGCGATCAGAAAGAACCTAAGTAGCTTCCCAGGTGGCGCTAGTGGTAAAGAACCTGCCTGCCAATGCAGGAGACATAAAAGATGCCAGTTTGTTCCCTGGGCAGGGAAGATCCCATGGACAGGGGAGCCTGGCAGGCTACAGTCCATAGGGTCACAAAGAGTCGGACAGGACTGAAGCAACTTAGCACTTAGCAGCTAATTAGCATGTAAGGCAAGAACAAAGGAGTAACAGCATGCCAGGCCTCCCTGTCCATCACCAACTCCCGGAGTTTACTCAAACTCATGTCCATTGAGTCGGTGATGCCATCCAACCATCTCATCCTCTGCCGTCCCCTTTTCCTCCTGCCTTCAATCTTTCCCAGCATCAGGGTCTTTTTGAATGAATCAGTTCTTTGCATCAGGTGGCCAAAGTATTGGAGACCGTATGACCCAGCAAATCTCACTCCTGGACATATATCTAGAGAAAAATGTAATTTGAAAAGTACCCCAGTGTTCATAGCAGCACTGTTTACAACAGCCAAGACATGGAAGCAACCTAAAGCGTCCACTGACAGATGAATGGATAAAGAGGTGGTATGTGTGGTGTGTGTGTTTGTGTGTGTGTGTGTGTCTGTGTGTATGCACATATACAAGTGTGAATGATGTTCAACGCTTGATTTAGATATTATGAGTATGTCCACTGACAACTAAATGCTACCAGAACCGTGGAAACCAAGTGAACTTTTTCATCAACTCAACACATTCACAACACTGTGTTGACAGCTTCTCAGGTACGCAGCGCAGTGACTCAGGGTTCAAACTATACTTCGATAAAAAGTAAATTAGAAGAAACCCTGATCTCATAATTTCAGATTAAAAGAGGCCTAGTTAGAACCCAAGTGTTGCGATTCTCCCAGAACTGCTCCCACTACCCTGAAATCCTGCCGCCTTTCCAAGGGGAGTGCTGAGCACCCCCGAACACAGGTGCTTCTGGGAGCCGAGGCTGTGGACTTCGGACGAGCACAAACGAGGGCACCTGCTCACCACCGTCAAGGGCTCCTATCACACCTCAGCAATGCTGCCCTGACCTCCAATAAAGAAAACGGTGTAGGCTGGGGGAGTACTACCTAGGCAACATCCATATGAACACCATCCAGTTAGAAATCTAGGACTCGACTGCTAAATTACTCTTGAGAGTCCCTTGGACTGCAAGGAGATCCAACCAGTCCATCCCAAAGGAGATCAGTCCTGGGTGTTCGTTGGAAGGACTGATGCTGAAGCTGAAACTCCAATACTTTGGCCACCTCACGAAAAGAGTTGACTTATTTGAAAAGACCCTGATGCTGGGAGGGATTGGGGGCAGGAGGAGAAGGGGACGACAGAGGATGAGATGGCTGGATGGCATCACCGACTCGATGGACATGAGTTTGAGTAAACTCCAGGAGGTGGTGATGGACAGGGAGGCCTGGCGTGCTGCGATTCATGGGGTCGCAAAGGGTTGGACACGACTGAGCGACTGAACTGAACTGAATGTTAAATCATCATGGCAAAAACCTAAGGTGTACTATTCATTCGAGATCCTTACAATCTGGACTTCCCTGATGGCCCTGTGCTCCAGAGCCCATGCGCCACCACCAGAGAAGCCACCACAATGGGAAGGCCACGCGCCAGAATGAAGAGGGCCCCCGCCCGCGGCAGCTAGAGAAACCCCATGCACAGCAATGAAGACCCAGTGCAGTCAAAGGTAACGCTTTTTTAAAGAAACTACATTTAAAAAATCCTTACAATTCAAGAACAGACAGCTTCCATATCAAGCTACAAAAATATAAGATGAAAGCATTCTTATACCTATCTACCAAATTTTTATTAATTTACTGAATCATCACATAAT